CCCAGTTACTCGGGCAGCTGAGGCAGGAGAATCACTTGAACCCAGGAGGCGGAGGTTTCAGTGAGCCAAGATCAGGCCACTGCACTCCAGCCTAGGTGACAGAGTGAGACTCCGTCTCAAAAAAAAAAAAAAAATTTAAACACTTACCTATGACTCAGTCCTTCCACTCCAAAGTATTTACCCACAAGAAATGATAGAATATATCCAACAAAGACAGGTACATGAATGTTCATAGCAGCTTTATTTGTAATAGTTCAAAACTGGACATGGTCCAAATGTCCATCAGCAGATGAATAGCTAAGCAAACTGGTGCATCCAAACAATGGAATACTACTTGGCAATAAAAAGGAATAAACTATTAATACATGCAACAGGGGTGACTCGCAAATCCTTATGCTCAGCTAAGCAAGAAGCCAGACAAAACACAAATACATACTGTGTGATTCTATTTACATACATTCTAGGAAGTGCAGATTAACCTGTAGTGACAGAAAGCAGCGCAGTTGTTACTTGGGGATGGGAGGCAAGAAGCAGGAGGGTGGGCTTACCAAGGGCATGGGAAGTGTCCAGAGTGAAGGGGATGGTGGTTATCTTGATTGTGGAAATGGTTTCACGGGTGTACACGTATGTCAAAAGTCATCACGCACACATTTTTATATGCAGCTTATTGTATGCCAATTATGCCTCAATAAAACTGTCTTTCAACAATACACACTAGAAGGCAGCAACTGCAAGGCAGCAACTCCAGAGTTCTGTGCAGGACACTGCAGTGATTCCTCTCCATTTATTTTCATCATCTAGGGAAGCATCCTCTTCATTTTTGGTTTTGTCTTTCAAGCGAGTTCTATTTTTTCAGTGTTTACTTTTATTTTTTTTTATTTTTATTTTTTTTTTTTTTTGAGACGGAGTCTCGCTGTGTCGCCCAGGGTGGAGTGCAGGGGCCGGATCTCAGCTCACTGCAAGCTCCGCCTCCCGGGTTTTTACGCCATTCTCCTGCCTCAGCCTCCCGAGTAGCCGGGACTACAGGCGCCCCCACCTCGCCCGGCTAGTTTTTTGTATTTTTTAGTAGAGACGGGGTTTCACCGTGTTAGCCAGGATGGTCTCGAACTCCTGACCTCGTGATCCGCCCGTCTCGGCCTCCCAAAGTGCTGGGATTACAGGCTTGAGCCACCGCGCCCGGCCCAGTGTTTACTTTTAAATATTTTTTTTAAATTTTTTTCTGTTTTGTTTGTTTTGGTTTTTTTCCGAGACAGGGTCTCACTCTGTCACCCAGGCTGGAGTGCAGTGGCAAGTTCATAGCTCACTGCAGCCTTGAACTCCTAGGCTCAAGCAATCCTATCTTAGCCTCCAGAGTAGCTGCGACTGCAGGCGAGTGCCACCATGCCCAGCTAATTTTTGCATTTTTTGTAGACAGGGTTTCATCATGTTGCCCAGGCTGGTCTAGAACTCCTGGGCTCAAGTGATCTGCCTACCTCAGCTTCACAAAGTGCTGGGATTACAGACATGAACCACCAGGCCCAAACTAAAATTTTATGACATAATATTTAATACATACAAAAGGATGTGTGGCACCTTACGTGAGTTAGGAACTGAGTTATAACTTAAATATCCATGAACTTAACCACCAAACCTGAGAGCTGTGATATTACCAATACCTTTACAAATTCCTGGGCTCCTTCCTTATCCCATCCCACACTCCTCTCAGGGACCACCATCTCAGATTTTGTGCTTTTCCTTCCCTTGATTTTTTAATAGGGTTGTATGTTGGGCATGTATTGCTAAACAATAGATAGTTTCATTTTGTTTTTGAGCTTTATAAAATGCTATCGTACTGTGCATAAAGTGCTGTTTTAATTTACCTCTAAGATTCATCTCTGTTATTGCATTATGTCTGTTACAGTATTTCTGATCCTCCCGACAGCCCTGCAGTTGGCTTTGGATATGGTAAACCTAAGGAAAGTAAAGCTTAGTGAGGTGGGGTGGCTCACCCAGTCCAAGGGCAGATTGCAGGGACTCCTCTTCACCACATCTTGTCCATTCCCTTACTTGCGAGGGTCTCGTGTGCACTGGCAGTGAGCAGGTGCTGGATATGCCACAGGGAACACGGCATATCCTCCATCGTCCCGAAGCACACATCATGGCGCTCCCCTTGACTTTCACCAGGACGACTCCGGGTACAGGCCAGTTATCTGAACATCCTGGGGGGCCCACGTCCCTTCTACTTGTCCTCAAGAGTGACTTAAAGAGTCTGGTCTGGCCCTCCCACAGGTTTCTGCCCATGGAGGGCAACTGGACAGCGGCTATCACCACGACAAATGCAGCCACCCCTAACTCATTAATGCTACTTCCAGGAACTTATCCTCTAGAAATGCTTGAATATGTACAGAGGGGCACTGGCCTAAGAATATTTATTACAGCATTGTTTGTAATATAAAAATAGTGAAAACAACTCAAGTTTCCACCAATAGGGATCTCACTGCACGTCATTAACATTTGTTATGGGAAACATACACAATGGAATACCACTAGCTGTTAAAAAAAAAATTTTTGGCCGGGTGCGGTGGCTCAAGCCCGTAATGCCAGCACTTTGGGAGGCCGAGACGGGCGGATCGCAAGGTCAAGAGATCGAGACCATCCTGGCTAACACAGTGAAACCCCGTCTCTACTAAAAAAGTACAAAAAACTAGCCGGGCGAGGTGGCGGGCGCCTGTAGTCCCAGCTACTTGGGAGGCTGAGGCAGGAGAATAGCGTGAACCTGGGAGGTGGAGCTTGCAGTGAGCTGAGATCCAGCCACTGCGCTCCAGCCTGGGCGACAGTGACGTCTCAAAAAAGAAAAAATTTTTTTTTAAAAAACTGAGATCTTTGATAACGCAAAACTTTCCAGGATATATACATATTTTTTCGAGGCGCACGTGATAATTTAATACATTCATATTCTCCAGGATATATATATATATATATATATTTTTTTTTTTTTGAGACAGAGTCTCGCACGGTCGCCCGGCTGGAGTGCAGTGGCACGTTCTAGGCTCACTGCAACCTCCGCCTCCCAGGTTCAAGTGATTCTCCTGCCTCAGCCTCCCAAGTAGCTGGGATTACAGGTGCCCGCCACCATGCCCAGCTAGTTTTTTGTGTTTTTAGTAAAGACAGGGTTTCACCATGTTGGCCAGGCTGGTCTCAAACTCCTGACCTCGTGATTTGCCCACCTCGGCCTCACAATGTGCTGGGATCACAGGTGTGAGCCACCACACCCGGCCCCCCAGGATATATTTTTAAAGGGCAAGGTCAGTACAATATGTGGAATATGTTAATACGTATATAAAAAATTGTAAAGAATAAAATATACCAAATTGCTTAAATATGCAAAATACTTCTAGAAGGGTTCATAAGTAACTGGGACCAGGGTGGCTGGGGACAGGGGTAAGAGGGAGACTCTTCATGACATCTCTGCTGTATTTTTAAAAATACGTACCATGGGCAAAGGCTACCCATTTAAAAATACATAAATAAAATTTAAAGTGTTTGTCTCTCAGTGCATATTACCCGGCTTCTCGGCCTTTCTTTGCTCTTGGCCTGCCTTTGCTAGCAGCAAGCATTTTATGGGAGGCCCCCACTTTGGCAGTTTACGCTCTGCAGTCCAAACCCCCTTTCCAGACTGAATCTGAGGGCTGGGAAGATCCGCCACAAGGAGGCGCTGTCTGCTGCTGGCCACTTGGTGGGTGGAAAAGCCAGCCCTCCCCAGAGTGCCTTTGGTCAGGGCCTTCGCTGAGCAGGAGCTCACCTCCCTGTCCCCACTTACCCACCCTGGTCCCAACATTCCTCCAAGAAATCTGGAAAATTGGAAGTTAGGAATTCACTTTGTATCCTTGTTACCACCGACCCCAATTTGGAAGGTGCTCCTCACCCTCCCTGGGGCTCCCGGGAACATGGGTGTGAATGTCTGCTGTGAAGAGGTGTGTTCCCTCCCCTGGGCTGGCTCCCATTCCAGCCAAGAAACCTTCCAGTCACTGGACGGAGTCAGAATAGTTGAAACTCTGCTGGAGGGTGGCTGAGGGGACAGTGTGACACCCTGGGAGCCACTGAGCCTACTCCCATGGCTGCCATCCACCTACCACGTCACTCCCCAAGTCTTTATTGCCGCCCACCAGGTGCAAAGCCCTTACTCCAACACCTGCCTTGAATGTCAGGGGTGACGATGGGGCCTTTGCTCCAGCTGTTCCCCCCATCTGCCCCCACCTTCCCATCCCCCTAACTGTGTGCCCTTAAGGCCGCTCCCATCCTGCCTCCTGGGCTGCAGCTGCCCAAAGGCTCTGGTCACGAGCGGCTTATCAGTGCCTGGGGCAAGAGGGGATGCCCGGCCCTGGGGACCCCGGTGTTCGGAGCTGAGCAGACAGCCCCTGGGAGAATGACAGCATAAGCACAAGCTACAGGAGGATGGCCATGAACTCAAGATGCAGGCTCCCTCCCTGGGGGCTGGTCCGTTCCTGGTAGTGACCCCAGGGCCTGGCACTGAGGCAGCCCTTGGGAGTCTGGTAGATGGACATAGGCTAGCCTTCCCGTCCAGTCTGATGATCGTGCTGTCATCTGATGTTCCTGGCCTGACACCTAGGCAGTAGGTGGAGGCAGGGATACAGGTCACACAAGCTACCTCCACGGGCAGCAGCCTCCCTGGGACTGGAGGGAACAGCCCTCTGGGGGCTCCTCCTGGGCCCTACCAGGGGCCACCCAGTGAGATCCTAGGTGGGGCAAGGACGCCCTGGATGAGAGTCCCTTTGTTGAGGCCCCCCATCTGCATGAATCCTTGGGGCGCCAAACTACAACACAGCCCTCAAACTGCAAAGCTGAGCGCCAGTTCTGAGCAAGGGCACAGGGGAAGGCACAGTGCCCCTGGGAAGGCTGCTGGGGGCCATGGCCTCCTGTCACCTCCACCTGGCTTCTCCAAGGCCCTGCCCTTCTGTGGTGCCCACAGAAAGGTGTGTTGGAGGGAAGGAGGCGGGAGATGAAGTGGTTTCACTCCCCCGACCCAGAGGGACCAGAGGAGTAAAACAAACCAGCTTTAATACCAATATAGTTCTCTCTTAAATACCGTGTTTCCCAGAACAAATGCAGGGGCAGGCTCTTGGCAGAAAGAGTAGAAAGGAAATGTGGAACAAAATGGAATGAATGGCCCAGGCCCAGGGCCCCTGCCTTGGGCACTAGGGACTCGGCTGCCTCGGGGAAGGGGAGGTGACAGCAGCTCCCCCAGTCCAGTTATTGCAGAGGCGTGGGAGGCTCCCCTCCCTCCCCAGGCCTGAAACATTTCTCAGGATTACTTCTGCCCTTCAGCCCCAGCAGGGCCAAGGCCTGGGCTCCTCTGGTCTGGGATGGGCCCCTTTGCCCAAAAGGGCCTGCAGCTAAGGCATGGGGTGGGGTGGGGAGCCCCTGGCCAGGCCCGCCACTCTCAGTAGGTGCTCTGGTGGCCCGTGAGGATGTAGAGGTTGCTGTGCGCCTGTGGGTTGTCAGTGGGGATGCTCTCCAGGATGATGTCTCTGGAGGAGAGAGGAGTAGGGGGCGGGGCGGGAGCCACTTGGCACATCAGCCCCTTCTCTGGCCTCAGGGGCATCTGAAGGGGAGGCTGGGGTGCCACTGCCTACCTGTGGGCCCCAAGCACTCGGAAGATCCTTGTTTCATCTGTGATCTCCTGGGTCACCTGGGAAGATGGGTGGGAAGCACTGAGGCCACTCCAGTAGGTCCTCTGCAAAGAGGTAGGGACCACAAGGCAGGGGACAGCTAGGTCCCTGGGCCCCACTCACCTCGTTGGTATCCAGGCTGCGGCCTTGCATCCCATGGCTCCAGAAGGCCAGCACGCTGTCCTGCAGGCACACTACGGGGGCCGGGCCACCATCAGCCCTGCACCCGGCCTGGAGCCCCCTCAGCCATGCCTGAGCCTGGGTCTGGGCCACATGGGTCCTCACTGACCTCAGGTGACCAGCATGGCTCAGGAGAGGGGCTGGGGAATCTGCCTCCTCGTCCTACCACCAGCCCCAAGTCCCGAAGCCACAATGTGCTCCAGGCCAGGGAAAAGCCTGCACCCCACCTCTGGCTCACTCACCCACAGTCTCAATGGGGAAGTCAAAGGTCAGCTCAGGCGCCAGTGTGGCCGTGGGCTCGCCCTGCATGTTGACAATCCTCACGCAGCCTGCACAGGGAGGGGGCTGGTGGGTGGGGACAGGGAGGCTCCCTTCTGGGAAGGCAGACCCACGTGGTCCCCTCACCCCCATACTCCCCTGCCCTAAGCCCTGCCCCCCAGGGTACTCACGTTCAAAGCTGACTAGGACTGTGTCCCTGTCCACCTGGATCACCTGCTGAGCCGAGCCTGGGATTCCCTCTGCAGGTAGAGAAGAGAAACCGCCTGGCTGAGCCACCAGTCCCCCCAACCTCAAGGGGACACAGGAGCCAGGCTACAGAGAGCCCTTAGCCATGAGGGCATGTCAGCCTCACAACAGCCCTGTGGGGCTGGGAAACCTCATCTCCCTCCAGGGCTGGGAACCGAGGCTCTGAGAGGATGAGTGACCCATCCTGGGGCTCATGGGGAGTGGGGGAGGAGTCACGGGGAGCCACGGGAGGGCTCCAGATTTGATTTAGGGGGACCAGGCCTTGTGACCCAGTCACTGTGACCTGGTACAAGTCACTTTACCTCTCGGAGCCTCTGTTTACTCATAACACAGGCAAGATGGCACTGCCTTGAGAGGCTATCATGAGGATCAAGAATAAAATCCTGGGCCGGGCGAGGTGGCTCAAGCCTGTAATCCCAGCACTTTGGGAGGCCGAGGCGGGTGGATCACGAGGTCAGGAGATCGAGACTATCCTGGCTAACATGGTGAAACCCCGTCTCTACTAAAAAATAGCCGGGGCGTGGTGGCGGGCGCCTGTAGTCTCAGCTACTTGGGAGGCTGAGGCGGGAGAATGGCGTGAACCCGGGAGGCGGAGCTTGCAGTGAGCCGAGATCATGCCACTGCACTCCAGCCTGGGAGACACAGTGAGACTCCGTCTCAAAAAAAAAAAAAAAAAAAAAAAAGAATAAAATCCTGAGCTGGGCACAGTGACTCACGCCTGTAATCCCAGCACTGTGGGAGGCCAAAGCCGCAGATCACCTGAGATCAGGTGTTCGAGACCAGCCTGGTCTCGAACCCCATTTCTAATCATACAAAAAGTAGCCGGGCATGGTGGCACATGCTTGTAATCCCAGCTCCTCGGGAGGCTGAGGCAAGAGGATCGCTTGAACCCAGGAGGCAGAGGTTGCCGTGAGCCAAGATCGTGCCATTGCACTCTAGCCTGGGTGACAGAGCAAGACTCTGTCTCAAAAATAAAAAAAAAAGGCCAGGCACGGTAGCTCAAACCTGTAATCCCAGCACTTTGGGAGGCCGAGGCGGGTGGATCATGAGGTCAGGAGATCAAGACCTTCCTGGCTAACACGGTGAAACCCCGTCTCTACTAAAAAATACAAAAAACTAGCCGGGCGAGGTGGCGGGCGCCTGTAGTCCCAGCTACTCGGGAGGCTGAGGCAGGAGAATGGCGTAAACCCGAGAGGTGGAGGTTGCAGTGAGCTGAGATCTGGCCACTGCACTCCAGCCTGGGTGACAGAGTGAGACTCCGTCTCAAAAAAAATAAATAAAAAATAAATAAATAAATAAAATAAAATAGAATAAATAAAGAATAAAATCCTGTGTGTGAGACTCCTGGCTCAGGGCCTGGCACCAGATGCCTTAACCACGTGCGCCCTCCCTTCTCCCTTCCCATCATTGCTCACTATCACCCCGAGCTACCACAACACCGGGAATCCTGCTTCCTGGCTCAGAATGGGGCCTCTAGGCCCTGCCTTGCCAGATCTGCCCCTTTCCTGCAGCCCGGAGCAATGTTGACTGTTTTTTGTTTTGTTTTGAGACAGGGTCTCACTCTGTCACCCAGGCTGGAGCGCAGTGGCGCGAACACGGCTCACAGCCACCTCTGCCTCCCAGGCTCAAGTGATCCTTCCACCTCAGCCCAAGTAGCTGGGGCCACAGGCATGCACCAACATGCCAAAGCTAGTTTTTTTTGTAGAGTCAGGGTCTCAGCCTTGTCCAGGCTGGTCTCAAACTCATGAGCTCAAGCCCCGCCCCGCTCCTTGGCCTCCCAAAACGCTGGGATGACAGGCGTGAGCCACCATGCCTGGCCTGGCCAGGATTTTCTTAGCTGCCAAGCCCTTTGGTCTAATGAACCCTTTTATGGAAGCCCAGGTGAGGCTCGCTGAAGGGAGGCTGTGGGCCCCAGACCCCATATGGCAGCCCTCAAGGTCTCTGTGGAGCCACTGGCTGTGGGGAGCCTAGTTTGGGAGCCTCAGCCCTCCCTCCCTGCCTGCCTCCCTCTGTCTCTCATGCACACACACCCACCCCCAGCAGCCTGGCCCTTCTGCTCACCAGGTGGGATGAGGATGTCAGGCGTCAGGCCAGCCTCCAGGGGCAGGACATGGAACAGGACACGGCAGCCAGGCCCCTCAGGCCCCTCGGCCCCCACACACACCTGCGGCAACTCCTTCCCATCCAGCACCAGCGGCTCCAGCATCCCAGCTGGGCTGGGCAGGGGGCTGGAGAAGTTCTAGGGGGCAGCAGGGATGCTCAGGTCTCCATTTCTCCCCCCAGAGCTCTGAGGGTACCCTGGGCCTCCCCCCACCGCCCCTCACCTTCAGCAGCAGGAACTTCTGCAGCGGCTCGTACCACTGCAGCAGGAGCAGGCTGGTGGGCAGGGCGGCCAGCAGGAAGGTGGCACCCGTGTAGGGGTTCCGCACTGGCAGGGGAGCAGGCAGTGGGCACCGGGCTAGGCCTGCACTGCCCCCCACCAGGCCCCACCCCACCCCACCCAGCCCACTTCTTACCCACACGACACTGCAAGCAGCCTTTGGTGTCAGGAATCTTGGTGGACAGAGCAAAGCGCCTGTAGGGGTGACAACCAGGGCCTGTGTCCGAGATGCCATCCATGGGCAAGGCCCCTGCAGAGCGCTATGAGGCAGGCACTATCATCTTCCCTCTTTACAAGTAAGACTGAGACTTAGAGACACAAAGTAACCTGTCCCAAGAACAGCTGGGAAGGGCGGAAGACCTGAAGCCAGTCTTCCGGGCCTGCGGCCAGGATGGGAGTGTCTCCATCCAGGCCAGGGCTTTGGGTCTCAGAATTGCTTCTAGCTCCGTGTGACTTCGGGCAAGCCACTTAACCTCTCTATGCCTGTTTCGTCATCTGTAGATTGGAGATAATGGTGGGGCCCACCCTGGAGGGTCACAGTGAAGGCTTCATGAGTTAATACAAGGAGGTGCTCTCGGCCGTGCTGGGAATCGTGTGTGTTCACAGAGGGCCAGCTCCTGTCATCACATATTAGGACTTTCCACCTATTTTGAGTCACTGAAAATCCTTGTCAGGTAAAGGCAAGGTATAAATAAAGAAATGCCGGGCGCAGTGGCTCACGCCTGTAATCCCAGCACTTCAGGAGGGCGAGGTGGGCAGATACCTGAGGTTGGGAGTTAGAGACCAGCCTGACCAACATGGAGAAACCCCGTCTCTACTAAAAATACAAAATTAGCCAGGCGTGGTGGCGCATGCCTGTACTCCCAGCTACTTGGGAGCCTAAGTAGGAGAATCACTTGAATCTAGGAGGCGGAAGTTGCAGTGAGCCGAGATCGTGCCATTGGACTCTAGCCCAGGCAACAAGAGCGAAACTCTGTCTCAAAAAAAAAAAAAAAAGAAAAGAAATGAATGAAGAAATGAGAGCGTGGAGGGGCCGGGGAGCATGCAGGCTCCAGCCCCACCAGGTTACACAGGGCGCCCAACGGCCCATTTCACAGATGGGAAAACAGGCCCGGGGCAGTGAATAAACTTCAAAAGGCAAATGGCCTGCCCTCTGCTTCTCCAGCTGAGGCAACAGCCCTGTGGGGCCAGGGGGTGGCTTGCCTTGCTATCAGGGAAGAAGCAGTGAGGGACAGTCATCAGAGGGGCCCTTGCCTTGGCCACTGGGTGTCCCCTAACCCTCCAGGGGACCCTCTGAGCCTGTTTCTTCCTCTGGGGAATGGGGCTTCCTGTCACCAGCCCTGCCACCTCCACCCAGCGGCCTGGGTCCTGTTTGTACCCTCTGCCAGGACATGGAGGAAACTAATATCTGTCTCTCCCTGTCCCTGGTCCTCGTCCCTCCCTCTCCCCACACTCCTCCCACTCTCCTTCCCATCTGGTCTTTGGATGGGACAAAGGCATAGATTTTGTATTTGTTTTTTCTCCAAACAACTCCAGTTCTCTGTTCTTTGCATTCAAAATGCTCACTGTGCCTCTGCCATTTCCTGAACGCAGGCTCAAAGCTGCCTGTGACCTGTTGGGGCTCTGATGCGCCTGTATCCTGTAGGTCCTGGGCCAAAGCAGAGGCTCACTTGGGGACTGAGCTCAGGAAGCCCCAAGGCCACAGGGCTCCAGATGTGGTCCTGGAGTGAGCACGTTGCAGGAAGGGCCCTCCCAAGCTCCCCAGCTGTTGCAGCCACTGGCCTGGCCTTCCCTACCCTCTGCACCTGGTCCACTGCTTCCCACACCACCCACCTGGTCATGACAATGGCGGGGCCCGTAGCCCAGGGCCCCTCCCTTCAGAGCCCAGCCCCACCCCGCCATGGACTTACACAGGTCCCACTTGCACATCTAACAGGCATCTTCATGCAACAAAATTGAATTCAGCTCCCCTTGAAACTGTCCCACCTTCAACTGATGACAGCTCTATCCTTCCTGATACCCAGGCCAAAAACCTTGGAACCACCCTTGACTCCTCTTTCTCTTTCATCAGGAAATCCTACTGGCTCAACTTTCAAAAGAGAATCAGAATCTGACTGTTTTTCTCTTCTGTTTTTCTTTTTTTGAGATGGAGTCTTGCTCTGTTGCCCAAGCTGGAGTGCAGTGACACGATCTTGGCTCACTGCAACCTCCATCTCCTGGGTTCAAGCAGTTCTCCTGTCTCAGCCTCCTGAGTAGCTGGGATTACAGGCACCCGCCACCACGCCTGGCTAATTTTTGTATTTTTAGTAAAGATGGGGTTTCACTATGTTGGTCAGGCTGGTCTTGAACTCCTGACCTCAGATGATCCACCCACCTCAGTCTCCCAAAGTGCTGGGATTACAGGCGTGAGCCACCATGCCCGGACTCTCTTTTTTTTTTTTTTCCTGAGATAGGATCTAGCTCCAACGCCGGGCGCGGTGGCTCAAGCCTGTAATCCCAGCACTTTGGGAGGCCGAGGCGGGCGGATCACAAGGTCAGGAGATCGAGACCACAGTGAAACCCCGTCTCTACTAAAAATACAAAAAATTAGCCGGGCGCGGTGGCGGGCGCCTGTAGTCCCAGCTACTCAGGAGGCTGAGACAGGAGAATGGCGGGAACCCGGGAGGCGGAGCTTGCAGTGAGCCGAGATTGCGCCACTGCACTCCAGCCTGGGCAACAGCGTGAGACTCCCTCTCAAAAAAAAAAAAAAAAAGGATCTCGCTCCATCATCCAGGCTGGAGGGCAATGGTGCAATCTTGGCTCACTGCAACCTCTGCCTCCCAGGCTCAAGGGATCCTCCCACCTCAGCCTTCCGAGTAGCTGGGACCATAGGCATGCCACCACACCCGACTAATTTTTGTATTTTTTGTAAAGACTGGGGGGTCCCTATGTTGCCAGGCTGGTCTCAAACTCCTGGGCTCAAGTGATCTGCTTGCTTTGGCCTCCCAAAGTGCTGAGATTACAGGCGTGAACCACCATGCCTGGCCTCTGATCAATTTTTCACCCCCATCACTGCTACCCTGGCACAAGCTACCACCACCTCCTGCAGCCTCCTGACGGGACTCCAGCTTCCACCCTCACCCTCTTCGCTCTGTTCTCAACACAGCAGTTTGAGTGAGCTCCTGAAGATGATCTCAATCCATGTCACTCCTCCATAGTGGCCCCCAGGCTGCTCTGAGTCAAGCCAAAGGCTGCACTGTGGCCACGGGGCCCTCCCTGATCATCTCCCTCTCCCTCATTCAGGCCACAATGACTTCCTTGTTGTTCCTCAAACAGGCCAGGCCCACTCCTGCCACCAGACCTTTGCCCTGGCCGTCCCCTCGGCCTAGGATACCCTTCCACAGGTATCCACAGCGCTTGTGCCATCACCTCCTCTAAGTCTTTGCTCAACCAACACTTTTTCAGCAAGGCCTTTCCTCATGCCCCTGTTGAAGACCATAGTCTGCGGTGAAAATGAAGACAAGAGAAAAACAGAGCCAGGAAACGCAGATGGGAGCCTGTGGTGCCAGCGAAGCCTGGACACGGCTGAGCCTGAAGCAAACCCTGATCCTGGATTTTCAGTTCCATGAGTTGTTAAATTCTCTTTTGTGCTTAAGCTAGTGACTTGCATCACCTACGAGAGAAAGAATCCCAGCCGGGCGCGGTGGCTCAACCCTGTAATCCCAGCGCTTTGGGAGGCCGAGGCAGGCAGATCACTTGAGGTCAGGAGTTTGAGACCACCCTGGCCAACATGGTGAAACCCCGTCTCTACTAAAAATACAGAAATTAGTTGGGTGTGGTGGCGGGCGCCTATAATCCCAGCACTTCATGGGGCTGAAGCAGGAGAATCGCTTGAACCTGGGAGGCGGAGGTTGCAGTGAGCCGAGAATGCGCCACCGCACTCCGGTTTGGGTGACAGAGTGCGACTATGTCTCAAAAAAAAAAAAAAAAGAGAGAATCCTGATCAGCATACAGAGGGATCCCTTTAAAATCCTAGGCCAGCATCTAAGGCAGAAAGGCAGGGCTCTGCCACCAGCGTGGTGCAGCTTCCTCCTGGGCTTCTTTGCCTCCTCCCTCAGGTGGACTTTTTTTTTTTGAGAACAGAGTCTTGCTCTGTCGCCCAGGCTGGAGTGCAATGGTGCGATCTCGGCTCACTGCAACCTCTGCCTCCCAGGTTCAAGCGATTCTCCTGCCTCAGCCTTCCAAGTAGCTGGAATTACAGACGCCTGCCACCATGCCTGGCTAATTATGGTATTTTTAGTAGGGATGGGGTTTCATCATGTTGACCAGGCTGGTCTTGAACTCCTGACTCAGTTGATCCACCCGCCTTGGCCTCTCAAAGTGCTGGAATTACAGGCGTGAGCCACTGTGCCTGGCCCCCAGGCAAACCCTTACACCTCCCCAGCTCCCCAGGCTGCTCCACCCCAACACATACTAACACATACTTGCTCTTCCCCCTGCCTGGAATGCCATTCCCTACCTCATCTGCCTAGAAACCCTGACACACTTTCAAACCTCCCAAGCCTGCCTGGTCTCCGAAGCCTCTCCACCCCTCCCAGCTCTGCCTCTAACTGGACCTCAGTGCCAGGTGCTAACCGTCCGCATTTCTCTTTTTCTTTTTTTTTTTTTTTTTTTGAGACAAGGTCTTGCTCTGTTGCCCAGGCTTCAGTGCAGTGGTACGATCGTCATCACAGTTCACATCAACTTCAACCTCAACCTCCTGGGCTCAAGCAATCCTCCCGCCTCAGCCTCCTGAATGGCTGGGACCACCAGCACACAACGCCATGCCCAGGCCACCATGCTCAGCTAATTTTTTTCTTTTCTTTTCTTTTCTTTTTTTTTGAGACGGAGTCTCACTCTGTCACCCTCGCTGGAGTGCAGTGGCGCCATCTCCACTCACTGCAACCTCTGCCTCTAGGGTTCAAGCGATTCTTCTGCCTCAGCCTCCCAAGTAGCTGGGACTACAGGCACACACCACTACGCCCAGCTAATTTTTGTATTTTCAGTAGAGACGGCGTTTCACCATATTGGCCAGGCTGGTCTCAAACTCCTGACTTCATGATTCGCCCACCTCGGCCTCCCAAAGTGCCAGGATTATAGGCGTGAACCACTGCGCCCAGTCCCATTTTTTGATTTTTTTTTTTTCTTTTGTGAGACAAAGTCTTGCTGTCGGCCAGGCTGGAGTGCAGTGGCGTGATCTCGGCTCACTGCAACCTCTGCCTCTCGGGTTCAAGCGATTCTCCTGCCTCAGCCTCCGGAGTAGCTGGGACTACAGGCATGTGCCACCACGTCCAGCTAATTTTTTTTGTATTTTTACTAGAGATGGGGTTTCACCATATTAGCCAGGATGGTCTCAATCTCCTGACCTCGTGATCCACCCGCCTCAGCCTCCCAAAGTGCTGGGATTACAGGCATGAGCCACCCAGCTTGGCCTTTTTTGATTTTTTGTAGAGACAAGGTCTCCCTGTTTTCAGGCTGATCTCAAACACGTGGCCTCAAACAATCCTGCCTCAGATTGCAGGATTGGGATTACAGGCGTAAGCCACCATACCCAGCCCCGCTGTTTCTTGAAAGCAAGGACTCACCCATCTCCCCCGTTTCTTGAAAGCAAGGACTGATGGGATTATCCATGTCCCAAAGCCCAGCACAGGGGCCAACATAGCATAAGTGCTCAGTAAACGTTTGCTTAACTGTCAAGCCTCACATCCGAACAACCACAGCTCCCACAACTTGGAAAGCACTTTCACATCCACTGTCTCCTTCTTGCCTCCCAACCAGCGGTGGGGAGGGGTGGGAAGGCCATCAATTGTATTGACAGAGGAGGAAACGGCGCTCAGAGAGGCAGAGTAACATGTCTAAGATTGCTGCAATCCCAGGAACTGGCAAGGCCATGTTCCAGCCCCTCGCTGCCCCTCTGCCTCCCACTCCCTGCAAGCCCAAGATCCCTGACCTGGGGATGATGCGCTGGGTGAGGCGGTTGGTGGGGATGGAGAGGGGAACCTGTTGCTGTAGCCTCCGCTGCTCAAACAGGCCTGGGAGGTCATGGGCCCAGATGTGCGTGGATTTCCCTGCAGAAAGGAGGAGAGGCTGGGCCTGGGGTGTTGGTGGTCAGGATGCTGAGGCGCTGGAGCCCCTGCGTGCCCTGCCTCCCTGCCTGTCCCACCTTGTACCTGAGAGTGACAGCAGCACGTTGTTCACGCAGTAGAGCCAGGAGCAGCGATGTGAAATCAGCTGGAGGCGACAGAGGGACAGGTGGTCAACACCCCAGGCCCCCCAAGGCCTCTGCCCCCCACAGTCAGCCAGGCCTCACCTTCTCCAGCGTATCCTCATGCAGTTCATGCAGGTTGAGTGTGTAGATGCCTTCCTCGGCCCCCACCACCAGGAATTGGTCTGCCAGTTTGGGCATGGGGTCAGAGGTCAGACACGCCCCTGGCCCAAGCTGAGAGATTCCTTGGGCTCCCACTTCCTCCCTGCCCCCGCCTACCCCGAGTAACAGGGTGAATCCAGGTGACAGCAGCGTGGATCCGCAGGGGGCAGCCGTTGAAGACCTTGGAGAAGCAGGCGCCCATCTGCGAAGGAGGCAAGAGGCTGGCGAGGGAGGGCAGGGGTGGTGGGTGGCGGGGCTGTGGGACTGCAGGGCTTGGGGCAAACACTTACGTGCACCTTGGGGGTTGGGGGGAGCCCGTGGCAGGATGACCTCTGGGAGGGAGGGAAAGAGTCAGGGCTGATGTGACAGCTGTAGCCACCCGTCTCCCCACCCCCCGTAGCACCCTCTCACCTCAGGATCCTCCCGCTGCTTCATGGTGGCCCAGGCCGTGGGCAGCAGTGGGGCGCTGTTGGGGCCTGAAGGAGGTGGGGGCAGGGTTCCTGCAGGCACAGGCACGCTGCAATTTCCTGCTGCAGCCCCCACCCTGGGGCTGCCTCCTGGTCTCCCAAGCCTGGGACTCACCTGGGGGACTGGACAGAGGCTCCTCTGCTGGAGGCTCAGTGGGGAGTGGCCCTAGGAATGGGGCCCGCTTGATGGTTCCCATGGCATCTTCTGGGGAGTCCAGCTCCTGGTAGGAGGGGCAGGGCCCAGCCCGGCCATTACCAGGTTGCCCTGTAACCATGTCCCACTCCCAATCATACCCTCTGCAGTGGCCTGGATCCTAGCTCCAGCCTCCCTCCATGTGGCACCTGGAATTCTGAGGCTGACCGAATGGTCAGGCTCCTGTGGGAGGGAGATGAGGCGTGAGGCATGGTATTACTGGCACCGAGGCCGTCCACCCCTTACCCCTCCCCCAGGTCCACGCCCCTCACCTTTCCTCCAGGGCCTCCTGGACCGACTGCAGCAGGCTCCTGGGCAGTGGGGCAGAGGGGTCAGAGATCAGCCTTTCTTTTTTTTTTTTTTTTTTTGAGACAGAGTTTCGCTCTTATCACCCAGGCTGGAGTGCAACGGCAAGATCTCAGTTCACTGCAACCTCTACCTTCCAAATTCTCCTGCCTCAGCCTCCCGAGTAACTGGGATTACAGGCATGGGCCACCATGCCCAGCTAACTTTTGTTTGTTTATTTATTTGAGATGGAGTCTTGCTCTGTTGCCCAGGCTGGAGTGCAGTGGCGCAATCTCAACTCACTGCAACCTCCACTTCCTGGGTTCAAGCGATTCTCCTGCCTTAGCTTCCTAAGTAGCTGGGATTACAGGCATGTGCCACCACACCAGCTAATTTTTTGTATTTTTACTAGAGATGGGCTTTCACATGTTGGCCAGGCTGGTCTCAAACTCCTGACCTTGTGATCCGCCCACTTTGCCTACCAAAGTGCTGGGATTACAGGCGTAAGCCACCGCAGCCAGCCTAATTTTTGTGTTTTAAGTAGAGATGGGGTTTCACCATGTTGGCAAAGCTGGTCTCAAACGCCTGACCTCAGGTGATCCACCCACCTCAGCTTCCCAAAGTGCTGGGATTACAGGTGTGAGCCACCATGCCCAGCCTAATTTTTGTATTTTAAGTAGAAATGGGGTTTCACCATGTTGGCAAAGCTGGTCTCAAACTCCTGACCTCAGGCGATCCACCCACCTCAGCCTCCTAAAGTGCTGGGATTCTAGGCGTGAGCCACCGTGCCGGGTCAGAGGTCAGTCTTTCTGCCGCCCCTGCCGCCCCCTGCAGCTTCCCCATCCCTCACTTACCCACTGAGCTCTTCCTTTCCCAGTAGTGTCCACTCTTCCTCCCACTGGGGGAAACCGAGGTAGAGACCAGGGAAAAAGCAGAGATAGACACGATGTGAGAGGGCGGTCAAGAGATTCAGGAGAGGGGCCGGGCGCGGTGGCTCAAGCCTGTAATCCCAGCACTTTGGGAGGCCGAGGTGGGCGGATCACAAGGTCAGGAGATCGAGACCACAGTGAAACCCCGTCTCTACTAAAAATACAAAAAATTAGCCGGGTGCGGTGGCGGGCGCCTGTAGTCCCAGCTACTCAGGAGGCTGAGGCAGGAGAATGGCGTGAACCCAGGAGGCGGAGCTTGCAGTGAGCCGAGATCACGCCACTGCACTCCAGCCTGGGCAACCGCGTGAGACTCCGTCTCAAAAAAAAAAAAAAAAAAAAAAAAAAAGAGATTCAGGAGAGGAAAGACAGACAGGGAAGGTGAGATGGAAACACGCAGGAGATGAGAGACACAGACAATGAAGGCAGAGCTAAAGACTGTGAAAGAGAGGGCAACAGACAGCGAAGGAGGAAGAGACAGGCTGGGGGGTGAGGAGAGACAGTGACAGAACCGGTGAGGGCAGAGACAGGGAGTTAGATCACCGGGGACACACAGGTGGGAAAACGAGGCTGAGCAGGGTAGGGTGGGGGCTCAGGCACATGACAGCCTCCTTTTGGGAAAGGCAGGGTCTCTGTGCTACCTTCCAGCCACCCACCTAAAAGAACTTGGCCCTGGCCGGGCGCGGTGGCTCAAGCCTGTAATCCCAGCACTTTGGGAGGCCGAGACGGGCGGATCACGAGGTCAGGAGATCGAGACCATCCTGGCGAACACGGTGAAACCCCGTCTCTATTAAGAAATACAAAAAACTAGCCGGGCGAGGTGGCGGGCGCCTGTAGTCCCAGCTACTCGGGAGGCTGAGGCCGGAGAATGGCGTAAACCCGGGAGGCTGAGCTTGCAGTGAGCTGAGATCTGGCCACTGCACTCCAGCCTGGGCGGCAGAGCGAGACTCCGCCTCAAAAAAAAAAAAAAGAACTTGGCCCAGGAAGGAGCCTCTAGCCCTCCAGGTTCCTGGGTAGAACAGGCTTGCTTGGACAGCCCAAGGTCCAAGGCCCGAGGTCACCCAGCTTCAAATATCCCTTGATTTGAGCTGCTCGGCCTCCATCCGACCTCCCTGCCCCACCTCTGGGCACCACCTTCCCCTCAAGGCCTGCCTGCTCACCGGCTCATTCAGTGGGTCAGTTTCCTTCCTGCGTGGGGCGCCAAATTTCACCTGGTGAACTGGGGGGCCCAGAGTACAGGGGTTAAGGAGCTGGAGTCTCAGGATGGACCCCCTACTCTCACACCAAATCCATGCGCACACAGGCCACCCAAAATTTGCACACTCACAGCCCCTGCTGCAGACTCACACTGGATCTCCGAAGGGGTCCTCTCGGCCGGGCCGTGCTGCCCCCGGGAATGAATGGTGTCTGGAAACATGTCATAGGTCTAAGGAAAAACAGAAATAGTGTGGACACACCTGGCACGCGCCTCATGCCAGGGCTGCTCTAGGAGCTTCACATGCACCAGTGCGTTTTGCTTTCATGACAGCCCTCTGGGACTATCATGAAATAAAATGGAACCCCACTTCACAGATAAGAGACCCCACACAGAGAGGTGCCAAAGATCATACAGAAAGCAAGAAAATGGCACAGTCATGGTCATGGTCAGCTTGGGCTCAAGGGCAGGGATCTATCAAGGGGGGTGTAAAACTCAGCATGGGAGCAAAACTCAGCATGGCAGAGACTCCCCAAGCTGGAATGGTGCCAATGAAGGGAACCTCCACCAACACCGCCCTTGGGCTCCTCCTAAGCGGACTTGCCCAAGACTCACTTTCCAGCCCCCTCACCTACCTCCAGCTCACAGTCCTCAGGGGAGGGGGTCCCTAGATGAGGGTCACTGGCTTTGTCCAGCAGCTGTGTGAGGAGGGCCCGAGGGAGCTGCTGGGTTGTGAATGGGTGCTGGAAAGTCGGAGAGGGAGGTGATCAGGTTGGCCCCCGATCCAGGGCCCTGCTTTTGAGCGCTGGGCCCCTCTCCCGGCCCCCTGCCTCCCACCTGCAGGAGCTTCTCTGCTGTCGGCCTCTTCTTGGGATTCTTGGTCAGGGCCAATTTGAGGAAGTGGTGGAAATTCTGGGTCCTAGTGGGCACAAGAGCCCCCCAGATCCAGGTTAGCCCTCGTGCAGGGTGTCCTGCCAGCCGCCCCATCACCCCTCTAGAGGTATCTGCTAGGCCCGCCCAGGAAGGAGCCAGCTGAGGCCGAGGGCCACTGGCCGAGCAACGCTGCCTTGAGACACAGCGGCTCCTCCACCAACCGTCTGCCCTTCTTTCCTGACCACGCTGGGTCTTCAGCCCACAGAAGGACCAGGCCCCTCACTCAGATGGTCTGTAGTGGCTCAGAGAGGACAGGGCTCTTGGGGTTGCCCCCCGGGAGCTGGCAGAGGCTCTTTGTCCACTACGGGGCTGACAGAAAAGGGGGTCCCGGCAGCAGGGTGCAGCCCTTACCAGCGAGTCTTATCTCTCAGTTTAGGCGGCTGGAAGCTGCTCTTCGACATGAGCATCAGGGCCCTGTGGAGGGCGCGAGGTCAGGGGCCACAGGCAGCAGGTCAAGGGTCAGGTGAGGGGCAAGTGTTGGGCTGACCTCATGGGATGCAGGTGAAACAGAGGGGGCTGCAGCTCGCCCAGCTCAATGGCGGTGATGCCCAGGGCCCAGACGTCACATAGCTCGTTGTAGCCACCTTTGCGCTCCACGGCAGCCACCTCCGGAGCCATCCTAGAGGTGGGGTCACAGATGGGATGGCCGGGTGCCCCCCTCTGTGGCCCCTGCCCCTCTGCCCTAGGCGCAGCCTCACCAGTAGGGAGTCCCAATGAAAGACCTCCTCTTGGCCACAGATGCTGTCAGCTCGCCTGACACCCCAAAGTCAGCTGTGGGAGAAACAGCCACTCTCACCAGCCCTCTGGCTGCCACTCACCCTCCCACGCCCAGGGCTGTGGCTCCGGCTGCACCTGGCAGGGCTCAAATGGGCAGGTGGCCCTGCTTGGTCACAGCTGCCGCAGGCCCTAGGCAAGGCCAGGTCCCTCTCCTGAGAGGCATCAACCACCCTCTATCCCTGACGGAGTGCCTGGTCCCATGTCAACTCCGTGCGGACCCAACCTCCTCCATTTTCCAGCAGGGAGAGAGTACCGTTCCATCTTCTAAGCAGGGAAACTGAGACTCAAGTGGCAAAGTGACTCGCCCAGTGACACCCAACCCTTGAGTCCAGGGTAGCCAGGGAGGGTCCACAGAACCCTCACCCTGATCGTGTCCCCAGGGTACTGACCCAGCTTGACATCTCCCTGGAGAGTGAGGAGAAGGTTGGCTCCCTGTGGGAATGGAGGAGAGAGAATCCCGTCTGGTGCCCCCGAGGGCCTCCTCCTCCCTCCCAGGAATGCCCTCGGCCTGGCGCCTACCTTGATGTCTCTGTGGATCTTCCCCTGAGAATGCAGGTGGTGGAGCCCCTGGGGACAAAAAGGAATCCCTGAGAGCAGCCACCCAGCGCTGTCCCACCTCCCCTGAACCCCCTCTCAGGACTGGGGCCCCCCACCCAGGCTGCTTCTTCCTCCCCTCTCCCCAAACAGGAAGTGACTGAGCCAAGAGGGAAATGGGCTGCTTCCGGCAACAGGGCTGGGGCCCCTCTTCCCCAGGACCTGGCCCCTCGGGCCAGCCCCACCCGAGGCACTCCACCCGCCTCCCTGCTGGTCAGCTGGGCTCCCAGCCCACAGCTTCTGGAGACCAGAGGTGTGGGCACCTCACAGGCCCAGCTACCTTCAGAGCCTCTCGGCAGACGTAGGCAATCTGCCGCTCCTCCAGGGGCCCAGTGGCTGAAAGGAAAAGGGAGAGGCTGGCCTGGGGGCCTGGGGTCATGCCCACCCTCCCAGGCTATCTTGTGTGGGAAAAGCAGCAGGCACTGTTAAGTGAAAGCTGTGTTGGCCACGTCCCCTCCCAACTTAGTGTAGGATACTAAAGCCAGAGATGGACAGCATTTCTCTCAAGGTCACACAGCCAGGCAGGAGTAGAGAGGAGCCCAAGTCCAGGGCCCAGAGTTCCCCTCTGGTACCCCAATGGGGTGGGGGTGGGGGAAGGCTGGGGCCTGCTGGGGCCTGGAGCCGTGGCCTCACCATGGTAAATCTCCTGCAGGGAGCCCCCTCCGCAGAACTCCATGCAGATCCACAAGCGGTCATTCCTAGGGGACAAAGAGCTGGGGTGGGCACACAGTAGGTCGCATGGGGGCTGCCTGGGGCCAGGAGGATAAGGCAGCCTCACCTGAGGTAGCTGCCAATGTAGGCCACCACATTGGGGTGACGGCACTCACGCAGGATGGTGATTTCCTGCTGGAGGGAGCTGATGTCGTCCCCTGGGAAGCACAAAGCATCATGGGGGGGCGCGCTGGGGTTGCCCTGACTCAGTGCCCCCATCTGCAAAATGGGCACAGAGTGCCTCCCTCCAGACCAGGCAGGTGCCAGGTGACAGCACCTCCTGGGGTACGCCTCTCAGGGGTCTCGGAAACGTCAACCCTCCGCCCGCACCCCGCGCCCGCAGGCAATCTGCCCTCCCTCTGGCGCAGAGGCCCGACCCGGGCCCTCACCTGGGTCTAGCTTGACTATCTTCACGGCGGCCAGTTCGGACGTGACCGTGTCGCGGGCCTGCAGGGGCGGAGGGTGAAGCGGGATGGGGGGCGGGGCCGGGGGCTGGATCCCGCCGCGGGGTGCGGGGCTGGCACCCTCCTCCCGGCTCTCCCGCCCGTCCCGTCGCCCGGCGCACCTTGTAGACGTCGCCATAGGTCCCGGCCCCCACGCGCTGCAGCAGCTCGAAGCGGTCCCGCGGGTCCTGCAGCGACACATCCCGCAGCAGCGCCATGGCCCGGCGCCGGGCGGGCCGGCGGGCGGGCGGGCGCGAGCTGCGGAGCCGGCGCTGGGCAGCGCGGGGCGGGGCGGGGCGGGCGCCAGTGGTTCTGAGGCCGCGGGGGCGGGGCTGGGGCCCGGAGGCGGGGCTGCGCCGGGGATGCCCCACCGCCCGGCCGGGAGGAGGCGCCCGCGGGACTGGCCCTCGGCGGCGCGGGGAAGCCCCGAGGCCGGGGTGGAGCCTAAGTCCTTCCGCTGCCACCGTTGCTCGTTGCGCGCGCTCCACAGGTAGGGAGCGCAGAGTCTTGGAAGCCAGAAGGCAGAGGGAAGAGGGGGCGCTCCACTCCCCGCCCCATCCCCAGTTTCCCAGATGAAACATGGACTTGCGCTTTGTATTTTTTTTTAACAAAATGTATTCATCTTTCTTGGAACTGAAAAATAAATCTATGTACAAAACAGGAAAAGATCAGGCTCCTGTCACCCACTCCCAACCCTCTGCAGATCTCCTCCGGGATGCTCCGAAATGGGCTGGACCTCTGGGAGGTTCCCAGAGGGTCGGAAGGGAGGTCCTGCTCTGATCCGGGGCCAGTTTCGTCAGGAAGAGGGCGGGGCTCAGGATGCTCATAGGCTGGGGGGAGTTTTGTGTCCCAGACTCGGGATAGGAAAGAGAGGAAGCTAGGATTTCCAAATTCTGGAGCAGAACTGAAGTTTTTTGGGGCAGAGGGCTTGGATTCGCAAGATACGGAATTCTGAAGTGTGGAAATATACTCCTAGCGGCTGAGTGGTCTAGGCTCCCAGGCCGGAGGTGGGACCTGTGCTCCTTGGGTTAAGGGTGAAACCTCAGCTCCTACAAGCTGGGAGCAGCCCTGAGTAACGTTGGTCTGGCTCTAGGTGAGCGGTTCCGAGGAGGAGCCTGGGTTTCTAGGGGCTGGGCCTTTAAAGATTGTTAATTAGGACCCAGGGTGAGGTTTCCATTGGCACCCTGGAATTCTGGGAGAAGAGACCTATATTCTAATGACTAGGGCAGAGCCCTGGGTTCTGAGCTGGAGAAAATCGTGGGTTTGATATAGACTCTGCTCGGGACCTGGAACCTTGGGTTTGGGTAGGCATAAGGCCTGTCCCCTTTGGGCTGGGGGCAGAGCATGGGCTCAGAGTTGGGGGACTAAAGGCGGGGCCTGGGTCCCCACAAGCGGTCCAAAGTCCCCAGTAGTTTAGAGGCCTTTGCGCTGCCGCTTGAGGAAAGACAGAGTGTAGTCACTAGGGGTGGACACTTTCTGCTTCTTCATCTGCACTTGTGACTGTGCCGTGAGTTGCAGCTTGATGGCGCTCGAGTTGATCTTGGTGGCCACCAGCAGCTCCTTCATGCCCTTCATCTTCTCACTCTGGAAAGTGAGCACTGGACCCTCTGGCGGTGGTGACGCTGCAGGCGCTGGCACCTGAGCCGTGCTGCCACCTTCAGGGCCTCGGGCTGTGCCAGGGACCGTCCCAGGGGGCTTCCGGGGGGGTCCTGACACTGCACCCTGGCTGGCACCCAGGCCCTTGTCCAGTGCTGGCTTCTTGGGTGGCGGGGGCTCCTCTGGCTTGGACTCCCGCCGTGGGCCCCGCCGCCGGCCTTCCCGGGCTTCCTCGCCCCATGGCTCCTCGGCCTCAGCTGCCTCGGCCTCTCGGCTCACTATGCGCACCTTCTGCCGCACCTGGGCCAGTGGGGAGAACGAGGTGAGAGCAAGGTTGCTGGCCAGTGGCTGGAACTCCAGGACCCTGCTCTGGCCATCCCATGCCACCCAGGGGTCTCAGTCTCACCGGCACCCAAGGGGATGAGCAGATACTGCCCCTGGGCCAAAAAAGTCTGACAAGCCATAGCTGCTGTCACCACCTGTAGTGCCCAGACCTCTGTGCAGCTGTCCCTCACCTGTCCCTCGAAACGGCCTAGGGACTGCACAAGAAAGGTGGCCCAGCCCACGTGCAGCACAGGTGTGGGACTGCCCTCCTCCCATTTGCAGATGCCGTCGTAGAATCGCAGCAGGTGGGCGAAGCACTCAGGGTCCTGGAGGGCAGAACCTTGGCTCTGGGTGCCCTTGACAAGAGGGAAGGGAGGGCACAGGTCAGTCTCTTACCCCTTAGCAGAGGGCACAGGCCAGGCCCCCCACCTAGGCAAAGACCCCCTGGCTCCAGAAAAGGTAAGCATAGGTTGAGAACATTCTTAGAACCTCTTTCCTTTTATAAAGCCAATCCGTCGCCAGAAGTTACCATCCCTTATCTCCATCCCTCAGCTGAGGGAGGGAGTCTGGCCATGACACTGAAGGCACAGGGTAGAAACCTCTAAAATACCTTCAGCCCTGTCCAACCTGGGCCCAGGACCTCAGTTATAGCAAAAGGGAACATAGCTCTCTGCTCAGGGCCACCTTCCTCATGCCATCCCTAGTCCCATACATGCAGCCCCCATGGCCTATGGCAGGGAGCCCTGCCCAGGTTGGAGGCTGGACACAGGCTGGAGCTCTAGCCTTTCACCTGGCTCTGCTCCCCCGGCCGCTCCTCGCCCGCCTCCAGCAAGCTGGCTGCCTCCTTCAGCAGGTTGGGGATGACATCATTGGCTACTTCGAAGAACTCCTTGTAGATCTCCTCGTCTTCCCGGCAGTAGTTGTAGCTGTGAGAGCAGTGGGGTCTCTGTAGGGTCTGAAGGGGTCTCGCCATGGGGGGTAGCCCCAGGGACCTGGTGGGGGATGGAGCCCAGGTTTCTTCTCCTGGGTCACCCCAGGGGCTGGGGGAGTAGGTGGGGTCCTCACTGCAAAATGATGCTGTCTGGGTCAGCCACAGCAAGAAAGCAAGAATGAGGAGGGGCACAGGGCTGAGGGTGGAGGTCCCACTGCTGGATGATGGTGGTTAAACATTGGGAGGAGATTTGAAGCTGTTCTGAGAAAAAAAAATTAGGAGAAGGGAGGGGGGGGAAGATGTGACACCTTAATCAGGGTCCCTACCTCCTGGGTGATGGCGGCCTTGCTGCCTAGGGACTGGATGGAAAGGGGATGGGGCGTGGGAGCCAGGCCTCAGTCCTGGATGAGGGTGGTTGGAAACTAATGGAGGGGAAGAAAGGACAGGCTGCAGGCCCTAATAGGGGGATCCTCACTCCTGGATGACAGTGGCCGTGTCTGCCCAGGCCTGCAGGGCTTCGCGCACGTTGCGGTTGCGACAGTGGTAGCCAGCCAGGTACATGTAGGGGTAGATGTGTTCATCCCGATAGTAGGTCTTGGCTGAGGCAATGCCCTGGGGGTGAGGCAGAGGATCCTCAGGGAGGCAGCCCCAGCTGCCCTGCTGGCACAAATGCCCCACCAGGGCACACCCAGAAGGGGTCACAGGAAGATCCCAGGGAGTCCTCTCCATCTCCACTCCGACCTCCACTTGCTGCCAGCCCTTCTACCTGGTCTCCTCCCTGGGTCTACAGGACTGCTGGCTGAGGCCTGGGGCAGACTGCAGGGGTGGGGCCTGCCCTCCAAGCTCAGGGTCCTCCTCTTTCCCAGACACTCTTCTACATACACACCAAAGACTTCCAAGCCCAGCCCAATGGCCCTACTCCCCACCTACACCCACCAAGTAAACACCCCCTCCCTCTTCAGTGCTCCTACCACATTTGACCTCTGTTATACTCCAGAAAGGACAGTAAGGAGTGGCAGAAAAGGCAGGGCTGAGGGGACAAATGCAGACCCTGACACTCCCAGGCTGGTGAACCCTGGACACTCCTCGGACAGCCCTGACTGAACTGATTCTGCACACAGTTGACATAAAGTGACACTGGATGGGTGATATCCCCTAACACACAAAGTTCTCATCCACCCAGATGAGGGCCCCTGCCTCAGCCACTGTTGGGGTCTCCCTTCTGCATCCTCCTTAGATGCCCCCACCTTGTGGTAGAGGGTGAGTGGATCTGGCCGGCCAGGGGTGGGCTCCAGCTCCTCCAGATCTGCCAGGTTCCCTAAGGCCATGGGGTACCTAGGAGAGGATCATAATTCAGGCTGCCACCTAGCCCCCTGGCCTCACAAGGCCCAGCCTGGCCACTTCCCTCTACTGACCTTTCCAGATGTCCCAGGTCATAGAGCAGCCAGAGCAGCTTCTAGGAGCCGAAGGAGAGAGTTATGAGCTACGGAACAGGGAGGAGAATGGGTCCTTAGCCTATCGGGCAGAGGTGGGGGTCAGAACAAACAGGGACCACCCACCAGGTAGGAGGGCCAAAATTCTGGGCCATTCTTTAATGGAGTTAAAGCAATTTCACATCTCAATTCCACTCTCCCAAGAGCCCTGGGAAAGGCCAGGCCAGGAATTACTAACCCATATTCCAGCGGGGGAAACTGAAGCTCAGGAAGGGAAAGTGCCCCTACCCAGGGTCCCAGAGCAAGTCAAGTCTGGCCTAGCCCAGTACTGCCCCATTGGCTCAGCCCTCACCTGCTGCAGCTGCAGCAGCTCCAGCGAGTCGGTGTGCAGGTCAATGGAAGGGTTGATGGCACACACCATGAATGCCACCTCCATCTTGCGGTCACAGCGCATGTATGATCCTTTCAGGTACAGCCAGCTCTTGAAAGGGGACAAGATCATTATGTCTCATGATGGCCCACCCTGTGCCTTCTTCAGGGAATGACAGCCGGGAAAAGGGGCTCTTCTGTCTTCCCTTCCTGATGTATGTGGGTGGTAATGGGAAGAAAGGGGTGTGGCCCAAGAAAGTGGAGTCCTTTGGTTGGTTTGGGCTACCAGAGTATGAAGGGGACAAGGTTGCAGGGAGGGAACAATACCCGCTCAGCCACACCAGCGTTGACCGTCTGGCCCCTGCGGTCCTCGTTGCCCTTGCCATGCCAGGTGACCTCAGCTGTCTGCTCCCCATTGGGCCCAAACACTACCCAGGCATGATCCTCAGACAGGGCGAGGTGGACATCCCGGAGACCCAGGGCCTGGCAGGCCCCAACCACAGCAAAGGCCACACCGGAGCTGTCCAATTTGGTGCCTGTGGAAGGGGCAGGTAATGAAAGAGGGTCCTCTGTGTTTTGACGTGGGGGAAGGGAGCCAGGTAGTGATGGGCCACACTCCCTCCCACTCCCCTTCCAAGCCTATGCCCCAAACTCAGATTATCCTGCCCACCATCCCTCCATCCCTTCCCTCCCATGTGTTCAAAGCCTCTCTCTCCCTGTTAACACCCTCTATGTCCAACAAGAGACCTTTCTGGATCTCCTGTAGCTGACCCAGCCTTTGGCCCTATCTCATCTTTCTCTGCAACTCTATTATATATTCTGTGGATTTAAGGATTCTATTTTACTGCACTTATTAGGTTAAAACAGGAATGGCAAATACAGGACACTGGCCAACACTCTCCTGTTATACATCCACCAACAGATAATCCTCATTTATCTCTGCACTCTTTTCCTGCTAATCTGAGAAGCAGCCTCTGAATCCTTCTCAATATGGCACACCAGGATGGGATTGCCAGTCAACCAGGCTTGCTGAAAAGTCTTAAGCCTTTTGAGGTCAAGCCCTCGGTCTGTCTCGAAACATTTTTGGCCGGGCGCGGTGGCTCACACCTGTAATCCTAGCACTTTGGGAGGCCAAGGCGGGTGGATCACGAGGTCAGGAGATCCAGACAATCCTAACACAGTGAAACCCCATCTCTACTAAAAATACAAAAAAAAAATTAGCCAGGTGTGGTGGCGGGCGCCTGTAGTCCCAGCTATTCAGGAGGCTGAGGCAGGAGGCAGGAGAATGGCATGAACCCAGGAGGCAGAGCTTGCAGTGAGCCGAGATTGCGCCACTGCACTCCAGCCCGGACGACAGAGTGAGATTCTGTCTTAGAAAAAAAAAAATTTCATAGGCCACCAGTTGCGGTGGCTCACACCTGTAATCCCAGCAACTGGGAGGCTGAGGCGGGCAGATCACTTGAGCCCAAGAGTTCAAGACCAGTCTGGGCCACATAGTGAGACGCCATCTCTACAAAAAATACAAAAAATTAGCCAGGCGTGGTGGTGAATGCCTGTACTCTCAGCTACTCAAGAGGCTGAGGTAGGAGGATCTCTGTGCCTGGGGAGGTTGAGGCTGCAGTGAGCCATGATCACACCACTGCACTCCAGCCTGGGGGACAGAGTGAGACCCTGTCTCAAAAAAAAAAAACGGCCGGGCGCGGTGGCTCAAGCCTGTAATCCCAGCACTTTGGGAGGCCGAGACGGGCGGATCACGAGGTCAGGAGATCGAGACCATCCTGGCTGACACGGTGAAACCCCGTCTCTACTAAAAAAAATACAAAAACTTAGCCGGGCGAGGTGGCGGGCACCTGTAGTACCAGCTACTCGGGAGGCTGAGGCAGGAGAATGGCGTAAACCCGGGAGGCGGAGCTTGCAGTGAGCTGAGATCCGGCCAGTGCACTCCAGCCTGGGCGACAGAGCGAGACTCCGTCTCAAAAAAAAAAAAAAAAAAAACCACAAAAAACAAAAACAAAAACATCTTCATAACTATTATTTTGTTTAACTGCCTCAAATGCAACCCAATTTCATCTTCTTGCCCCCTAAATCTGCTGCCACCCTCTGTATCTCATGCTTAGAACTGCTGTAACTGTTCAGTGGCAGGGGTGGAGGTGCTGAGGGGGCAGAGGTGAGGTGGATGGTTTGGAGCCAAGTGATCAGGCTTCACTTCCAGCCCTGCCATGCCGTGTGTGACTTTGGCACATCATTTCCCCTCTCTGGGCTTCAGTTTCCCAACTGCAAAGAGGAAAATAACACCTGCCCAACCTCACAAGGCTTACAGTTCTCAAAAGGGTTCTGTAAACCACGGAGGGTTTTGAAGAAGTGGGTCATGGATAAGATTCCCACCTACTGGGCTCCAACCTGTGATGAAGCTGAAGAGGGACTGGATGTGGGCTCGATCCTTGAAGTAGGAGCGGCTGAGGCTGTTCCATATGACATCGGAGACCTTCTTCACCAGCTCACGGCTGGAGACACCCCCTTCTCGAGGATAGAGGGACAGGTCGACGGCGCCTCGGATCTGGGCGGTGAAGCGGGCATAGAGGGCGGCGATGATAGACAGGTCGGCCACGGGAAAGTAGGTGAGGCCGCCAGGCGGGTCGGGGGCGGGGCTGGGCTGGAAGGTGAGCTCGGGAACGTTGGTGGGGATGACGCGGTTGACAGCCAGAAAATGCTCCACGAAGCCCAGCACCAAGGAAAGGAGCACCAGGTCCGGCTCCTCTCGGCCCAGCTCGGCAGCAAACAGGCGCACCACGTCGTCGATGGAGCGCAGCGGGAACAGCGTCTTCTGGGCGGCCTTCAGCCCCATGGCGGCGGGCGGCGGGCGGCGGCCTGCAGGCAAGCCGCGGGAGGGAGGGTCGGGCAGGTTCGGCCGGGGAGCCCCCTCCCAGGGTCCGCTAAGTTTCCACCCTCCGACACACGCACAGCTCCCCTGCTTCCCCACCCTCCTCAGCCTCTGCTCACCGGCTTCCCCTCTTTTGTCGGTGAGACCCCTCAGCCGAGACTGCAGAGCCTTTTTGTCCCCCACAATTCCGGGACGCCCGGTACCCGATGGGGTGCGCCTCAAGGACCCCAATGAGGAGCCCCAATGGCCGCCCCGCCCCCTCTACGACTGTGCCCCCGGGGCCCTAGAGTCCGCCCAGAAAGCGCACCCAGGCCAAGCCCCCAAACCCCAAGGAGAGTCCTCGCCTCGGTACCCCTCGCCCACCTCCGCGCTTACATCCCACACAAGGCACCGCGGCCCACGCCGCCCGGAGCCTGCTGGGACATGAAGTCCCGCCCCTAGGGTCGCACTACCCGCCGGGAAGTGGAGTCTGGGCCCACCCCTGCCCCCGCCGAATCTGGAAATAGTTGCGGGCCGGGCCGCCGCGCGGTGGCTTCTGGGATCTCTAGGTCCGCGGCTCCGGATGCCTCCTTCCCGAGACACTCAGGGATTGGTCCTTCCCTTCAAGCCGACCAGGCAGGAAGCGAGTCCGCAGTGCCTTCTGGGAAATGTAGTCCAGGGGCACTACCTGCAGACTCAGGGTGGCAGGTCACCGAGCTTCTGCCGGTTTTGCTGTCACGGGTCAGTCGGCAAGTTATGAGGAAAAAGATCAAGTTGCTTGATCCAGAACAATTTTAAATAAAACGATGTGAGGAAAACAGATACTTTTAAACACTTAAGGAGAATAAATGTGTTCAACCGCTTTAGCTGGGTATCAGTGTCTGTTAACAAATAAATATGGGCCGGGCGCGGTGGCTCACGCCTGTAATCCCAGCACTTTGAGAGGCCGAGGCGGGCGGATCACGAGGTCAGGAGATCGAAACCATCCTGGCTAACACGGTGAAACCCCCGTCTGTACTAAAAAAATATATATATAATTAGCCGGGAGTGGTGTAGTAGCCCCTTCCTGTAGTCCCAGCTACTCGGAAGGCTGAGGCAGGAGAATGGCGTGAACCCGGGAGGCAGAGCTTGAAGTGAACCGAGATCGAGCCACTGCACTCCAGTCTGGGCGACAGTGTGAGACTCTGACTCAAAAAAAAAAAAGAAAGAAAGAAAAAAAAGAAAAACGTGGCAAGAATAGCTTTTGTTTGTTTGTTCTGAGACACGGTCTTTCTCTTTCGCCCAGGCTGCAGTGCAATGGCTCGGTCTTGGCTCACTGCAGCCTTGACTTCACGGGCTCAAGCAATTCTCGTGCCTCAGCCTCCCAAGTAGCTGGGACCACAGGCGTGCGCCACCACTCCCACCTAATTTTGTGTGTGTGTGCATATACCTAAATATATATACATATAAAACACACACACACACACATATATATCTATATAGTTTTTTTTTTTTTTTTTGGCAGAGACAGGGATTCCCAGCTACTTGAGAGGCTGAGGCGGGGGAATTCCTTGAACCTGGGAGGTGGAGGTTTCAGTGAGCCAAGATCTTGCCACTGCACTCCAGCCTGGGCAACAGAGTGAGACTCTGTCTTAAAAAAACATCCCGGCCGGGTGCGGTGGCTCACGCCTGTAATCCCTGCACTTTGGGAGGCCCAGGCGGGTGGATCACGAGGTCAGGAGATCGCGACCATCCTGGCTAACACGGTGAAACCTCGTCTCTACTAAAATATAAAAAATTAGCCGGGCGCGGTGGCGGGCGCCTGTAGTCCCAGCTACTCGGGAGGCTGAGGCAGGAGAATGGCACGAACCCGGGAGGCGGAGCTTGCAGTGAGCGGAGATGCGCCACTGTACTCCAGCCTGGGGGACAGAGTGAAGACTCCACCTCAAAAAAAAAAAAAAAAAAGGCCCCAGTAGCTGGGATTACAGGTGTCCGCCACCACACCCAGATCATTTTTTGTATTTTAAGTAGAGATGGGGTTTCACCATGTTGGCCAGGCTGGTCTCGAACCCCTAACTTCAAGTGATCTGCCCGCCTCGGCCTCCCTAAGTGCTAAGATTACAAGCATGAACCACCGTATCCAGCCAAAGAGTAGTTATTTGTTTGTTTATTTGTTTTGAGACAGAGTCTTACTCTGTTGCCCAGGCTGGAGTGCAGTGGTGCGATCTCGGCTCACTGCAACCTCTGCCTCCCAGGTTCAAGTGATTCTTCTGCCTCAGCCTCCCAAGTAGCCGGGATTACAGGCGCCTGCCACCACACTTGGCTAATTTTTGTATTTTTAGTAGAGACAGAAGTTTCACCATCTTGATCAGGCTGGTCTCAAACTCCTGACCTTAAGTGATCCTCCCACCTCGGCCTCCCAAACTGCTAGGATTACAGGTATAAGCCACTGTGCCCGGCCTATATCAACAACATTTTAAAACTTTGAAACAATACTAAATTTCCACAGCCACTCATGTATTCACTTATTCATTCAAAAAACCAGATTTTTGGTACTTACCATGGGCCAAGTTCCAGACACTGGGTATAGAGCAGTAAATAAAACAGATCAAATTCCTGCTATTTCACCTCTTCACCTCTCTGGATTTTCTTCAAAATTTATAACCCTTCTCTAATCATGAGAAAACATCTGGCAAAACAGAGTTGAGGGACAGTCTACAAAATACCTGACCAGTATATCTCAATAGTGTCAAGTTCATGCCAGGCTCATACCTGTAATTACAACACTTTGGGAAGCTGAAGCAGGAGGATTGCTTGGGGCCAGGAGTTCAAGACCATCCCGGGCAACATAGGGAGACCCCGACTCTACAAAAACAAAACATTGACCGGGTGTGGTGGTGCTCACCTGTAGTCCCAGCTACTCAGAAGGGTGAGGCAGGAGGATCATGTGAGCCCAGGAGGTCAAGACTGCAGTGAGCCGTGGTCATGGCAGTGTACTCCAGCCTGGGCAACACAGTGAGACCCTGCCTCAAAAACAAAAAACAAAACAAATCAAAAGAGCCAAGGTCATGAAAAATAAGGAAGGACCCACAAATCGTTGCAGATGAGAAACTAAGGAGACAGAACAACTAAATGCAATGTGGTGTTCTGGATCAAATCCTGGAACAGAAAAAGGACATCAGTAGAAAAACTAGTAAACAGGGTAACCAACTTTCCCAATCGGCCCAGAACTGAGGCGACTCAGGAGTATAGGATAGGACTTTGTGTTTTATTTTATTTATTTATTTGTTTATTTATTTATGTATTTATTTATTTGACAGCATTGCTGTGTCACCCAGGCTGGAGTACAATGGCATGATCTTGGCTCACTGCAACCTCTGCCTCCCAGGTTTAAGTGACTCTCTTGTCTCAGCCTCCTGAGTAGCTGGGATTACAGGCCCCCGCCACCACACCCGGCTAGTTTTTGTATTTTTAGTAGAGATGGGGTTTCACCATGTTGACCAGACTGGTCTTGAACACCTGGTCTTACGTGATCCACCTGCCTTGGCCTTCCAGAAGTTCTGGCATTACAGGCCTTAGCCACTTTGTGTTTTAAAAACAGTCAAGGCTGAGTGCAGTGGCTCACACCTGTAATCCCAGGGCTTTGACATGCCAAGGCAGAAAGACTGCTTGAGGCCAAAATTCCAGACCAGCCCGAGCAACAAAGCAAGACCCTGTCTCTACAAAAAAAAAAAAAAATTTAAATTAGTCAAACACAGTGGTGTGCACTAGGTAGTCCCAGCTACTCAGGAAGCTCAGGCACGAGTTTGAGGCTGCAGTGAGCTGTGATCGCACCACTACATTCCAGCCTAACACAGTGAAATCCTGTTCCCAAAAACAACAACAAAAAAAACAAAAACCAGACCAGGCGTGGAGGCTCACGCCTGTAATCCCAGCACTTTGAGAGGCTGAGGCGGATGGATCACTTGAGGTCAGGAGTTCGAGACCAGCCTGGCCAACATGGTGAAAGCCTTGACACGGTGAAACCCCATGTCTACTAAAAATACAAAAATTAGCTGGGTGTGGTGGCAGGTGCCTGTAATCCCAGCTATTCGGGAGGCTGAGGCAGGAGAATTGCTTGAACCCAGGAGGTGGCGGTTGCAGTGAACCGAGAGTATGCCACTGCACTTCAGCCTAGGCGACAGAGCAAGAAAAAGAAAAAAAAAGTATTTTAGCTGGGTGTGGTGGTGTGTGCCTGTGGTCCTAGCTACTCCGGAGGTGGAAGTGGAAGGATCTTTTCAGCTCAGGAGTTTGAGACCAGACTGGGTAACATAGTGAGACCTCGTTTCCACAAAAAAATTTTAAAAAGTATCTGGGCATATTAGCATATGCCTGTAGTCCCAGCTCCTCAGGAGGCTGAGGTGAGAGGATCAATTGAGCCTGGGAGGTTTATAGTGGGCCAACATCGTGCCACTGCACACCAGGCTGGGTGACAAAGCAAGACCCTGTCTCAAAATAAACAAATAATTTTTAAGGTTTTTTTTTTTTTTTTTTTTTTAGACGGAGTCTCGCTCTGTTGCCCAGACTGGAGTGCAGTGGTCGAATCTCAGCTCACTGCAAGCTCCGCCTCCCGGGTTCACACCATTCTCCTGCCTCAGCCTCCCAAGTAGCTGGGACTACAGGCGCCCGCCACCATACCCGGCTAATTTTTTGTGTTTTTAGTAGAGACGAGGTTTCACCGTGTTAGCCAGAATGGTCTCGATCTCCTGACCTCGTGATCCACCCGCCTCCGCCTCCCAAAGTGCTGGGATTACAGGCGTGAGCCACCGCGCCCGGCCAAGGTTTTTTTAAAAAAGGTCGCTTGGCCGGGCGCGGTGGCTCAAGCCTGTAATCCCAGCACTTTGGGAGGCCGAGACGGGTGGATCACGAGGTCAGGAGATCGAGACCAACCTGGTGAACATGGTGAAACCCCGTCTCTACTAAAAAATACAAAAAACTAGCCGGGCGAGCTGGCGGCGCCTGTAGTCCCAGCTACTCGGGAGGCTGAGGCAGGAGAATGGCGTGAACCCGGGAGGCGGAGCTTGCAGTGAGCTGAGATCCGGCCACTACAACTCCAGCCCGGGAGACAGAGGGAGACTCCGTCTCAAAAAAATAAAAAAAATAATAATAATAAAAAAAAAAAAAAAAAATAAAAAAGGTCACTGCCTGAATGAGAGCAAAGTTACATTTAATGGAGTAGACAGACAAGATATACAAGAAATAAATGTAATGTGTAATATATTAGGAAATAGTCATTGTTTTATTTTTTAAATTTCTGTAGAGAGGGAGATCTTGCTATATTGCCCAGACTAGTCTGGAGCTCCTGGCCTCAAGTGATCCTCCTGCCCCAGCCTCCCAAAGTGTTGGGATTATAGGCATGAGCCACCATACCATACCCAGCGTGAAAATAA